CTTCTAGTACTACGACGACGACGACGACGACGACTACTACTACTACTGCGACGACGACGACTACCACTACTATTAAAGGAAACTACAGGTGTGGAGTTTAGGGCTATTTATAGGGCTTCTAAGGACTAACGTACTGCTAGTACTGTAGGACTACTGGTACTGCTTGTACTACTAGTACTACTAGTACCACTAGTACCACTAGTACTACTAGTACTGCTAGTACGAGTACTACTGGTACTGCTAGTAGCTGCTAGTACCACTAGTGACGAATCTGGCAGAGATGGTTAACAGTAACGACAGTTTTCTGCTGTAGTTGCTGCAAATGATCTTGTTGCTATACCATTCTTAAGGTGATCGCTCTCGATTAAAAGAAACAGCAACTACATTCAACACATTGATCTTATAAACACAGTCTGTGGTCACGATAGACCAACACTGAACCCGTCAAACCAAAATCTTTGTCGACCATGGAACATCTGGCTGCGGTCTGTGCGGTCGGCGTGATCCTCAGGGCCGCATTCCTCCAGCACACGCTGCACATCGAAGTCGAAGGCCTCGGTAGCGAGCTCCACCATATCCTTGGGTTCCCGAGAAACTATCGAGTGTCAAGGGCTTTCGGAGCTCCGCATATAACGAGAAAGACCGTGACTATGGCCAGCAGAGTTAAGCCTTTCAAAGCCAGAAGATACAAAAAGAAATTGAGTTTCGCAGATGTCGATTTTCCTGAACCAACCAAAAAAAGCATTCACAAGCTTTTCTAAAAATGGCCCAGCATCCTGCAGCTGGGGCATGCTCTGACAGGCAGCCAGCATCCTGAGATCAAGACATGTCTACAGGGCGGGTACAGCATGCATCGCATGCATCCTTTGATGCCTTTTCTTGGTGGGCTTGTGCTTAAGTAAAATTTCTTGAAACTGTCAGCTGCAAGCGTCCCGGCATAGTGCGTCTGCTCGCCGGGAAAGATCAGCATGTTGGGCTGTGCCGCTGGTTCCTTCAGTGGGTGCGCGCACCACTCTGGTAGGTCGTACTTGTCCAGGGCTTTGTGTCCAGGGAGGTTCTCGGCCCGACCCGACATCTCGCTGTATTTCGGCATGGCTCTGAGGGATCTGGCGGATGCGGAGCAACGGAACAGGTCCAGGCGTTGGGCTAAGTAGGTCGGTGTCCGTACTACTAGCCAAGCACCAGAATCAGGGCTCTTTCTGACGAGATGTGCTTTGCAATTTGAGGCACTATATTCGAACAAGCAATCATTCCTGCGGAAGGGACCTCGTGCCATTTCGTTCCATCATTCGCATGGACACTGGTAACTGGTACCGGTGTTGGTCACAATGAATGCTGCAAATGTGTTTGTGCGGGAAACGAGATCAGCTCCAGCACCACCACCAGCTGCGAGGATTGTGACAAGCTTTGGCTCAAGATCATGCATACGCGGACGATGATGCTGATGATGCCAATAACACTGGTGCTGGCGCCTTCGATGGAAGTGGTGCTGCAGCTATGCGAGCAGGTCGATACGGAAAATTGCCGACGATGGCTATAACCATCATCACCAACAACAACGCTATCATCGCCATGTAGTGACAATGATGATGGTAACCATGACGATTGGACACCTTCTGACGAGGAACTCGACAAAATCAAAATACCCAGGTAGTACCAAAGACCACAACATCAAACATCCGACTTTTCCCATACAAGTGCGAAGAGTTTTTCTCGCGAAGCATACCACATAAAAGGGCGACAGTCGCATACTTGCCGAAAAACTGAAGGTCTGGGCCGATACAATAGAATGATGCTACTGTAGCAGCAATGTTATCCCATACAACCACTTCAACGACCCTGCTTCACCTGGTGCTCTTTCTGCTGGGCTCAATCATCAACCAGCGCCGCAAACATGATCCTACAAACTAGCCAGTGTTGACGACTGCTCGCATGGCCGGGTTGCTCCTGGAGCGATCGGTCATGGAGGTTGCTCGAGAAGCACAGCTTCGCCTGCAGCAGGCTGAGAGTTAGGGTAGTTTGGGTGCAATGGAGGTGCTGGTGGCGGTGCCGGTGGCCGTGGAGATGGTGGTGTGTGTCAATAGCACTATTGCTGCTCATTAACCACAAAAAGCCATCAAACGTCGTGGGCAAGGCTGCTGACGATGGCATCAGGATGACTGAGGTTGAGCCGAAGTACGTTGGTAGCTTGGGACTCGAGCCAAAGACGGTATGCTGAGAACCCAGAGGGAGGTGGCGGGCCGGAAGAAAAATCCCACTGGAAGTGCGATGATGCACAAGTTCAACGATTCTCTACATCCATCGCAAAAAAATCTCCAGTCGCACCGTTGGTTTAGGTCCTTGCATGGAGATGATATCAGAGTAACCCACAGGGGTTATGTTCAAGCAGCTTCAGTGGGAGTCAGTACACCACGCCACCACTTCAGGCTGCACCTGCCGAAAATGTGGCCAGTCTGAACCACACACTGCACCCTGAAGCCGAATTGCTCAATCCTGCAATACAACCCACCTGCGCCAGCTCAAGGGAAATTGGCAAGTAGCCTGGAACAGGCTAAAGAATTCACGGTCTTCCCGGGAACAGCAATGTCATGCAAACCATCTACCCACATGTATGCTAATTTTCTTTCTTCGAACCATCGAAGACCAAGAAATACCAAAGACATCGGAGACCGGCCTCATTATGGCAGTATGATGATGAGATCTTTGGTGAGGATGGCGAGGATGCAGACCGCGAGGGCGCGGGCAGTGATGATGATGATGATGTGCATGATGGGCTCAACGATGATAGAGGGAATGCAAGGTCCCCTTGCGAAGACAACCTGGAATTCCGATACGTTTTGAAGCTGCCCAACACCTCAGAGCAAGAACTGCAAAAGATCAACGCTGAAAGAAGAACGAAAACCAGGCACCTGTACAACCCAGAATGAAAACAGCAACAAGCCATTTGAAAGAAAACATGGCCTTGTAAGGGCATGAGCCGGCGAAGCCACACAAGGAGTTCCATGCGCTCATGGAGCAAAGCCTCACAAAATCCGAGAAGGGCAAGGAGGTTGCCACAGATCTGAGGACTTAGGATCTAAGGCCTGGGGTTTCTTGTGCTGGGGTACGACTTGTGAATGATGCCGCACAGAACCCCTACTGCCGAGGTTGTTGCTGAATTCTTCTCTGTTGCTTTTGGGAGTTTGCACTTGCCGTAACTTGCCTCTGCGGGATACAGCGGTGATTGTTCAAGGTAGCCTTTAAATGTCCAGGGTTTAGGGCTCAAGGTTTAAGGCTAAGGCCTTGAGAAACACTTCCCAGGTGCAATGCATCACCCGCACTCCGCACAACCAGTGGTCGGATTTTGGGTTTCGAACGTAAGGGAAAGCGACAGAATGCAAAACACAGCTGCCTTTCAAGAGCCTTGCGGACAAATGTATGTTGCAAGAAACTCAGGCAATGGATCTTGGTTGTGCATCTTCGCCTTCAGTTTCAAGCCACCGGATCCGATTCGGAGACAGACACTTCTAGCATTCTAGCACCTTAACCCAGCACCTGCGACCATGGGCTAGGCAGGAACCGGGTTACACAATAAGATGCGGAATGGCAAGACGATGCAAAACAAAAGGCCTTCGTGGCTTTGCCGGGCGAAGCAGCAAGGCATAGAGTAGCGCACTCCATGTGAAAGTAGTGTGGCAAGTGTTCCTCATAAACGGGATAGGAGCATCCGAGTGTAAGTTGTTTTGTTCCTGGAGGTTGTTAAAGCCAGTCAGCACTCCTGGAGGTGAGCACTGCTTGCGTATCGTATCCATCCCACCTATCCCGCGACTTTTGTTGGCACTTCCTACATCCCAGATATCGCGAGCTCCCAGATCCAACACTGCAAACCTCACAATGTCGAAAGCCAAACAGGTGCAAACAATACCTCCATGTGGAAACGCAGGCCCCCCTTTCTACGACACGGATCGCAGATCCATGCACCAGGAACTGAAGAAGCTTCAAGGAGCCCGGGAATCCACGGATTAGTGGCTCCTTCCAAACTTCGAAAACATTCAGAATGGAAACAAATCTCGACTCTCCCCGCGCCTTTCTACCCACACCGTCTGAAAGACTGAAGACATGAATCTGAAACCAGGCTGACAAACACGGAAAAATCGAAAACCCGATAGATGCTGAGCCTCTTCCGACAGAGGCATCGGTAGACTGTGGCCACACAGCTCGCACGGTCCCCGATTGTCAGCACCCTCGGCGCAGCAGCTGTCGACTAGAAAATCAATCTGACCACTTGCCGGTTTGGCGTTTCGGGGCTAAGGGGTTTGGCGGCTTCAAGAGTCACACCCCAAAGTGGTAATCTGGTCGGGAGGCATCCAGCCGCCATGCACCGCAGCTTCGACAGAGCAGGCCCCAGAGTCGTCGGGCCTGTGTGAGCCCGAACAGGGCTACTCTAAAGGCTCCTATGAGGGATTTCTGTTAGGGCTGCGCCAAGATTGAGTAGAACCAACGACACCATGTGAGCTTTATGGAAAACACTGTCCCCTGCTTCACGCCAATCGCCTAAGATCCCAAACACCAATGTTGAGAGAAGATTGACTTGAGCACAGATTTCACTTCTCCACTTGTAACACAATCGTTGTCCGTTGATACTTTGGAGCTTATGGCCAGCTTGGGGGTTCATGGTGTGGCCGTCAATCCGGCTAGAAAGAATCACGCGTCGAACCAACCTTGGCTTACTCTGCCGGTGAGAGGAGTCTTCTGGAACAAAAAGCATTGAATCGATTTTTCCTATACGTAATGAGAACAAGGCACAGAGAAACAGATCGGAACATAAAATCGTGGGAAAAATGAAGCGATAGAAGGCCCTACGAGTTGCGGCAGTCATTGCCAGAAACTACAATGAACATTCAAAGGTTTGCAGCACTAAATGCAGCGAATTGCGTGTGCTTGAGGGAGAAGGTGCTGGAAGAAAGGACTGAACAAGTCATCACGCGTTACCCCTCATTATACTGGCCGAAATTTATCATCGATCACGTGTCCACGGCATCCAACTGCCTACCGAGTGTAATGCCCAAACAACTGCTCTGCACATCCTCTCGGGCACAACACTTCCGCATGCTTCCATATAGCACTGATACATCCTATGACTCTGTTATCGAAGGTGACCAGAAGCTTGGAATCGTTCCTCATGCTAGTGAGATTTCAAGCCCAAGGACTTTCGAGAGATTGAGGAGTACCGCGACACGAGACACCGGCTCCCACCTCGCTGCGCCAGCAAGAAGCGCCATGAGGGACTCCAGGACCACCTAGGTCCAAGCTTCGAGCTTACGGCTTAGTCATAAAAACGCTTCATCGGCGCTCTTCGGGGGGGGGGGGATGGACTGCCTGGTTACATGAATGCTGAATAGCAGTGGTTGCCGTCATCGTCGCAGCGTTGGTCGCGCTTGTGATCGCGTTCAGGGTCGTGGTAGTCGAGTGTAGTTATAGTCGAGGACATAGTCGTAACTGATGATACAGCGACTGGTGATCTCAGGATCTTGAAGATTAGCACTACGGTTTGGTCCCAAACCCAGCGTCTTCCATGCTCTTCGCAAGAAGACAAAGAAGAAGCAGACGGAACCCCGTAACCAACATCATCAGCCACAGGAACCGCAGCATCCGCAGCAAACACTCTCTCAGTCGCACAAAAGCAGTGGCGTGACTTGCAAGCGCTAGCTTTCCAGCTCACCACCTTCGCAAAGAAGCATGCAAAATCCTCACAACGGCTTTTAACAGCAGGGCTCTGACAGAAGTCCCAAATGTGGAAGTCTGGTAATCACTGCGAGTCAGACGGCACTTCCGACTCTCGTCACTGCCCATGCCTTCACAAACAACCTAACCAACCATGCAAGTCTGGTAATCACTGCGTGTCAGACGGCACTTCCGACTCTCGTCACGGCACAGACGACGAACCATGCAACATCCACACAACGGCTCGCCACCAGCAGGGCTCTGACAGAAGTCCCAAATGTGGAAGTCTGGTAATCACTGCGTGTCAGACGGCACTTCCGACTCTCGTCACTGCCCATGCCTTCACAAACAACCAACCATGCAAAGTCCACACAACGGCTCGCCACCAGC